GGGCGGCGTCCGGGGACCTCGGAGCACGTGCGCCGGCGGGGCCTGGCGCCAAGGGCGCCACCCGAAAAGCGGAGCCGCGGGGGCGGCGCGCCGCAGCGGGAGGAGGTGGGCTTTCGCCCTGGGAAGCTCGCTGTGTGACCTCGCGCGAGTCGCTTTCATCTCTGGGCTGTAGTTCGCTTAGCTGTCAAAAGGGAAGCCAGGGCTCTACGGTTGTGGCCGCCAGGGCCCTTCCTTCTCCTGGCCGCCGAACGCCGGACCGCGTTCCCGTTTGGAGTCTGGCCGCCTTCGATCTCAAGTCAAGTCGCAGCTCCTCTCGCCTTCGGACTCGCCATTGCATGCATGGCTCGGGGTTCAGCTTTTCGCTCCGACCGTTACTCGGGACCTCTCGGTTATCCTGGGGATGGCCGAGGGTACGCGTGAGGGCGTGGGAATTGGTACTGAAACCTCTTCCTTGCGGTGACCCGTGCGCCCCGACTTATATTTGGGGATCGTTTGAGAGACTGAGTGTGTTTCACAAGGCTCGCTTGTTGGTTCATTCATTTAAACCCCGTGCCTACGGTTTGCCAAGCGCTAATGTTAGGTACCGGGAATTCGTAGGTGAATATGACAGGCACGGCCTGCAGAAAGCTCGCAGTCCGTTGGTGGGTCAGATATAGCAGCCGGCGATTTTAATGTGGTATGCTATTCGTTGATTAGTTCCAGAAGTACTTATTAAAGGCCTACTCTGTGCTAGGCATTGTTCTGATCAGTGGGGATTACAGATGAACAAAGTCCTTGCTCTCTTGAAGCTTACATTCTCGTGGGGGGGGAGGTAGACGAGTAAAACATAGAGTGCCTGACAGTGATAAATACTATGGAGAAAAACAAAGCAAAGATTAGAGGGCAGTAGGGGGAGGCACAGTCGCTGTATTAAATAGGGTGATCAGAGAAGGCCTCACTAGGAAGGTGAATTTGAGCAAAGACCATCAGTAGGTGAGGGGGCAGCCATGAAGATATCTTGAGGAAGAGCATTCCTGACTGGAAGCTGTAAATGCAAAGGGAGGGCATCTAGGAGGCCAGGGACTACGAGAGCTGGCTTATGGAAAGAGGGAAGGGAAGAGGTGACACCAGAAAGGTGTGTGTTCAAGTGGGGGACCCCCAAAAAACTGGAGTTTATTTATTAAAGATTGTATATCCTTACATGTTTAAACTTAAGTCACCTTCAAAGTACTTTCCGTTTGATGCAGTATACCAATCAGGACACTTTTCCCACTACTCAAAGCAGTTTTTGAACCTGTCAGTTTTGATGCCTTTTAGTAATGCTTCTGCTATTTTTTGTTTCACCTCTTTCACATCACCAAAACGTTTCCCTTTGAAGACGTTTTTCATCCAGGATAACAAAAAAAAAAGTTGTTCAGGGTGAGATCAGGTGAATAGAGAGGGTGGGGTGCAGGGGTCATGCTGTTTTTGGTCAAAACTGCTGAACACTCATTGCAGTGTGGGCAGGTGAGCTTGTTAATCACCAATCGTGAAATGGACAAATGCATTGAAAGACTCTCAAAAAAAAAAAAAATTTACCGAAGCCGAATACAGCCTCTCTCAACAACGCTAGCTGGTGCATTGATGCTGATGGGTTCCTAGAACACTTACCTAGCGGGGGAAGCCTGTACTACAAGGAGCCCACCCTCCAAAATTCTGGGAGTTTTGGGGTCCCTTCTTGTATGTAGTGACAAATTGTGTAGGACACTGAAGTCCTTGGAAAGCACTGTAGCAGTTACTCTTAGTGAAATAGGAAGTCATTGACAGACTTTGAGCAGAGAGAATTTAACAGAATGGCCGATTGCTTGTTGAATAGCTTGTATAGGGAAATAGGTGAAAACAGGAACCAGTTAAAGGCTATTGCAATAATCCAGATTAGTGGAGGAAGAGGAGGTGATAAATTGTTGCACTTTGGATATGTTTGCAGGTGGAGCCAAAGGATTTGCTCATGACTTGGATGTAGATTATAAGAGAAAAAGAGGAGTCGGGGATGACTTCCAAGATTTTTAACTTGAGCATTTACTGGGATAGGTAAGATTGGGAAGAGCAGGTTTAGGGGAGGAATATTAAAAGTTTGGTTTGGGATAAGTGAGTTTTGAGAGGCTGATAGACATTTAAGAATAGATGTTTTCCTATCATACACAGATATGAACCCTATATTTATCTAGATACATGGCCTAAATGTAAAAGCTAAAATCACTAAACTTTTAGGGATAAATCTTCATGACCTTAGATTTTGCAGCACATTCTTATGATATGACATTGAAAACATATTCAATAAAAAAGAAAAATGGTGATTGGACTTCATTAAAATTAAACTTTTGTGTATCAAAGGACATTACCAAGAAAGTGGAAAGAATGGAAGAAAACAGGTGCAAATAATACAACCAATAAGGGTCTAGTATGCAGCATATATAAAGAACTATTAGAGTTCAACAACAAAAAGACAAACAATCCGATTAAAAAATGGACAAAGAGCCGGGCTCAGTGGCTCAGCCTGTAATCCCGCGCCTTGGGAGGCTGAGGTGAGTGAATTGCCTGAGCCCGTGGGTTTGAGACTCGCTTGGCAACTTGGCGAGACCTCATCTCTACAATAAATCAAAAATTAGCCGGGCGTGGTAGCTCACACCTGTAGTTCCAGCTACTCGGAAGGCTGAGGCAGAAGGATCGCCGGAGCCCAGCAGGTTGAGGCTGTGGTGGCCGGGAGCAGCCACTGCACTCCTGTCTGGGCAACGAGTGAGACTCCAACTCAAAAAAAAAAAAAAAAAAGGACAAAGGACATGAATATATATTTCTCCAAAGAGATACAAGCCAGCACACACTAATTGCTAGTTAATAGGGAAGTCTAAATTGAATCCACAGTGAGTGGAAATTGGACATAGACTTGCCACATGACCCAGCAAATCCATTCCCAGGCATGTATCCAAAAGAATTACAAACCAGTCCTCAAAAAATCCAAATGTACACATTTGGGAGCACCATTCACAGTAGTTAGTAGGTGGAAACAACCCATGTTTATCATTGTATGAATGAATAAACAAAATGTATGTCAATATAGTGGAATATTATCCAGCCATAAAAAGGAATGATGCACCAATGCATAGTACAATGTGGATGAACCTCAGAAACATTGTGTTAAGTAAAATAAGCCACACAAAAGATCATATATTTTATGATTCTATTTATATGAAATATCCAGAATAGGTAAATTCATGGAGACAGAAAGCATATTGGTGGTTGCTAGGGACTGGGGGAAAGGGAGAATGGGTAATAACTGATTAATGGGTACAGCGGTTTTCTTCAGAGGTGATGAAAATGTTTTGGAGCTAGATGGTGGTGATGCTTGCACAACATTGTAAATGTACTAATTGCCACTCAGTTTTTCACTTTAAAGTGGTTAGTTTTCTATTAATTTCATCTCCAAGAAAATAGATGTGTTGAATAGACAGTAAGATACACAAGTCTGGAATTCAGAAATTTCCAGACTGGAGACTATAAATACAGGTGTTCTCAGTTTTTCAAGCCATGGGATTGGGTATCTAAGGAGCAGGCAGAGATAGGCAGAGTGTAGGTCTGATGATTGAGTTCCTGGGGCAGTCCTAGTGTTTAAAGTTCAGGAGATGAGAGGGAAGTACCTCAGGAGAGTGAGAAGTACTTGTGGGTTCCATGGGAACAGAAGAGGAGCATCTTAATCTGACCTGGCCTTACCCCACTAAGCATTATCTTCATTTTATCCAAATTTAAACCCAAGGGCATTCTTAGAAGTTTATTTTCCTTGCATAGTATATCTACCTCTAGTTAGTTCTGGCCTATAGGTCACTTGTGTCC